GGGCAAAGGAATGACGTCAATGGCAAAATTATAGTAATTCAAAAGTTATTGTTCCGTCCTACCTATACACTGCTGTTCTATGTGATTGATGTAGAATCTTGTCTGGCTTCGAAGCATGCGTCGAAATGCGTAATTTTACAGTAGAGCACAAACCAGTAGCATATTTATATAGTACGGAATAGCTATTCATGTCGTTTTTCTGCTAACGGGTCTTGCTTATCGTTTGAAACGAGTAATGTTCAGAACAGTAGCTTTCAACAGCTTCCCAATTACCTGAGGTAGGGAAGTGGGAACTGAAAGCTCCGTATAACGGTTGCCGTGGTCGATGAACACTGGAGTTATGTAATGTAGTACAGAACCAAGTGTGTTGAGCAAAATTAGCTACAAGGAAGTCGTACTTGACTTGATGGGGGTAAAGAAGTTGTAAGCCTGGAATTAGCGCTGAACAGGAGAAGTTTGAAAAGCGTGAGGAGGAAATAGCGCTGCACAAAAATGACTGCCCTTCTATTGACTCCTGCGCGCATCGTCCATCAACTTTGGTCCTCGAGAGTTTGGAGCAATTTTAGGTGAGAAAATATGTGGGATGCATATGTCATCGTTTGATTCTTCGAGCACAGGTCGAAGCTTGGAAATTTGGTGGAAGCGGTGCGGGATTTATGACAGCATTTTGCGAAGGATCTATACAGGGTGAGGCAAAGTTATGGAATCAATGCGTGGGAGCGTAATCCTCGACTGCCGGGGGTCATAATGTTTTTTTTTATTTTCAACTGATTCACTCTGAACATTTCATTCAAATGTCACAAAAAATTGACTTTTTTCCCGAACGACGAACCCATTGCCCCTTCGAAAATCTATGATGTGTTAGCCCATTGAAGTATTGCGATCAGCATTTCTTGTTGATGGGAGTTGATAAGAAGTGTACTATCGGCTACTATCGTATGGTTCATGGAACAGGGAAATCAATCTTATCGACATCACTGTACGAAGCCTACTCCTGTGACACCATCAAAGCAAAAGATGGCCGATCGTCCTAAAAAATTAGTCCTGAATCTCTTATTTGAACATCTAAGGGAATCCATCTTAGTCTGAGCTTAGCCTCATTTCAGCATCAAGAAATGGTGGTACCAACAAGAAGGTTCCCCCAGCCATGAAGCGTAGATTGCCCCTGGGTAATGAAACCAGAAATTTTCACGCTTCATAACTTTCAATGGATGACCTAAGAAGTTGTGAAACCCTATTGCGCTAGATTTCTCGGTGAGGGAGTCTTCTAAACTCCATGACCTGAGCAAAGCCTCCTAGCGACCTCGATCCCTTGAAAGCAGCTGTGCAGAACGCTCGGAACTATTAGGTTGATGCATAATTATTGCGGATTTTTTTCAGCCAATTTTACTTGAAGGAACGATAGAAATATCTAGCAAAGACATGTTCAAATAATTGCTCCGGAACATATCCACCATCTAGGGCAAGCATTGCTTCCTATTTGCTCGGCGGTCGGATCCCTCAGGCGAGGAAGTTTCGATTGTTGGAGGCGATCACGCTCAGAAATTGGCCATCAAGCCATCCACTTCTTCGAAAGTTCTGTTCGTTAACCAATTTTTAAACGGGCGATCAACGTATAATCCATAGGAGTATCTGTTGGTGAATAGGGCGACCGTAGAAGCAAATCCCAATCTTTATTCGGCTTTGGCTGACTGTTCCGTCGCCGAGAAGTTCGTTGAGATCACGATATGAGTGGGCCGCCTTCCAATATTTCTCGAAGTAATAGAGCAAAGTTCGGCGTATATGAAAATGATTTTCTAGACATATATCTATTAAGGAAAGCGAGAAGATAATTTCTACCAAAATCTCGAATTCAAAAATTTTATTTCATCGAGAGGAAGGAAGCCGCGAAAAAATCCGTAATAATTATGCATCGACCTGCTAGTTAGACCTACCTCCTCGCCATTGTCGCCGTGTTTCCCGAATTTCTTCGAGCCTCTGTCGAAAGTAGATGGAGATCGTCCCAAGGTAAAGTAGTGCTTCTTGTTCGATTTTTTCCATAGAGTGGAATAATACCTGTTTTGTTCTGTTTGTACTCAACAACGTCTTTTAGTAGCATTGATTTTGCTTCCCTATTTTTGCCACACCCAGTATAATCGCATTTTGTGCATCACCACAGATTACGGTATGCTGAAGAAAACGTGCTATACATGTAAAATAAAAGGTTACTGAGGATAAGAAAAAGACTATTGAAAGATTCTGGACTGGAAGACTCTGTACCCGAATTCCCACGATACGCGTTGCCGCGTATCGTGGGAATTCGGGTACAGAGTATTCCAATAGTCTTTTTTTTTTCAACAGAATGAGGCCAGTGACACCTACTATTACTTTCTCGTATGCTTTATTCATGTACTTAGCATATACTGTAAGCTTGTCCAAAGTGATAGGGCACCTATAAATTACTTAAACGATTCCGGAAGCGATATGTAATAGAAGTCTCTAAAAGCGAATTCAACAAGAATCCCTTAAAACGTGACAAAATAATATTGTACAGGTAAATTTCTCATATGTGACAAATAGTGGAGGTTAAGAGATGAACTCGCATTCCAGTTAGGAAAAACTAGTAACGAGAACTTTTCGGAAATCCCGAAAGACATATAAGACATAGCTTTTCATAAACACATGTTATCACCTACTCCATCGTTAGAATCACTCAGTATGAGACGTCAGTACGGTAAAACAGCTTACACAGTAAAGAGTATATTACATTGTAGAGAACTTGATTAGCTGACCATTCGGTACATGCCAGAAGTTCCCACTTCAACACGTCCATCTTTGACCAGTTTATTCAAATGGAGCTTGACGTTATTGAGAGCTGCCAGGCGGACAGATAGCGGAGCATCCTAAACAGTAAGACAAAAGTTAGGTAACTTGTAAAGTTATTTCCAACAAGTTTCACTAGGGAGACAAGCGTTTGGCGAATACTTTGCGGATCTGGTACCACTACTACAACAGTAACATTAAAAAAATTTCAACAGAGAATAAAGTCAATGACTCCAGCTTTAAAGGTGAGAAGGAATCCTTCCGCGTTTTCTTCGATATAGTGATAAGAGATTTTGAATTGAAACCAAGGGGGCCGCAATAACTTTGCAAGTCACCACTACGATTCAAAACTTTAACACAAATTTCTTTTTTGAATTATTCGAGAAAGTTGTAGAATGTCAATTTCTTGTTAAATCTCACTCCACATAGGGACGTGATTTTGCAAATTATTGAAAGGAGAGAATCAATTGGCAGGCTGACATGAGGCGTTAGGTTAGAAGAAAGGCTCTGAAACCGATTTCTCAAGCCCTATGAAGCACGAAAGCACGCCTTCACGAGAATGCCCGCCCTGAAACCTATCTATAATAATATCCACGTGCTTGCAGGGTAAGACAAACTTTCTGCGGGTTGGGCTACTTAAAGGAACATTCACGATAATTTTACGGGGCCCATTTTTATACGAAAAGCGGAAGTATAGACTGGGAATAATTCATCGGTAGTAAAGAAAGCGAGAGAATTCGCCAACTTCAAGAAAATTATGGCTCCTCAAAAGTAGAGAAAATAGAGCTTGGACGAGATTGCCATGACGGAAATAACATGGAAGGGGTATTCGGACGAGATTTCAATTATTGCAATTGCACAAAGAGCTGACTACATCAAGCCAGAACTGTACAAAACTCTCTTTCACTGTCGCTGTGGGTCATGAAAAGTTGTTTGAACTTCTTACATGGGTTCCCTTGTGATCGGTGCAGCCTCTATGATGCCAGTGAAACTCGTCTGAGGAACACACGGGCCAATATTTGAGCCTTTATATCTCTCTAACTAGGCCGTTTCCCAACCTAGTAGCCAGATGTGGTATACGCGAGAGCCTCAAATTTATCCTATGGGGGAATTTCAGAAACCATTTTTATCGTGAGCTGTGCCTTTGAAGAAAATTGTCGTCGCACTGATAAGAAGTCGACTGTATGTTACAGTTAAGGCCAAGAAAGTCTCGCCATAAAAATAAGTGTTATGTGAAGCCAAACTAAGCGTTCTGTTTCGTGAGTCTACTCTGAACAGACGTAAAGCTTGCTCCAAAGTGGCCTTTAACAAATAGATGTGCTCAAGGGTACCGCATGATCTATAGCTTGAATTTTTTAGAAAACGTTTCAAAAGCACGCAACTTGCGAACGACCCGGTATAGTGAATTACCGGTATTGAAAGTGGTCTATACATGGGTACGAAAAAAGCAAAGGAACAGATCCAGCAGAAAATCGATACCAGGACCTCGTATTTGTGGATCAACAGGTAACTGTACCCCCTGACATTGCCCAATTTCTTACTCACATAGGGGTGCAAGGCGATGACATGCAAAACAAAGTATGGAAGCATATTCACAAGTTACCCACAGGACTGTACAGTATTATATTAGATGTGAAGAACGAATCCCAAATTAATTCACAAACGTTTACAATCGTTGACGTACGTATTGATCTAAAGGCACACTTGACAATAATTATGAGGTTTTTAGCTTAAAGTAAATAATAGAAGCTATTTCGCAGAATAGTCTGAAGGTGGCGAAAAAAAGTCGGTGGATGTGAAGAAATATAAGACTTCAAAAAAGTAAGGAAGGGGTGTAAAGGATCGGATCTGTAATCGTCTGTTTGTCTCCCACATAAGCATACTATTCGTCGGCGTCCTGTCTTAACACGATCGTCATAACACGTCCACTTTTGGGTGTGTACGTCAACTAAGTCGATTTTGGAACTTTTATTATGTCATATCTTGACCATTTCTCGACCCGACATCCCACGTGCTATCCTCGAAGGTCACAGGTATATCCTAGACAGAATTCTCAAAAAGAATATCAATTGGGAACTGTGCCTTTAAACAGCTTCTATGACCGAGAACCTTTTCGATGAGTGCTGCAACCGATATGCAGGAAGGAGAATTTCGCAAAAAGATTTCTTCTCATTGACACTGACCTCAAACAAAAAAATTCATAAAAATACCGCGTATACGATGACAGTGATATCCATGCTGGTTGCCTCCCCCAACGTGACTAACGCCTTCACAATTTCGTTTTCCCGTTTCATTCGATGTTGCACATATTCGTTCACTTTTTCGTCGCATTTCTCCACAACCGGTCCATGACCTTAAAATCGGAAAATCGTTCAAGGCTTTTTGATAACAACGGTGTTAACTTGACTATGATAGCTCAAAGTTTTGAAGTCAGAGACCACTCTTCAAAGTTCTCATTTGATATACGTAAAGGTGAAAGTGCATTTAAAACAAGTTGTACAAAACAACAAAACTTGTTCTGATTTGATTTCATATTTCCTCCGCCTCTGCATTATAAACTTTTTAATGGGATTTTGTAATTCATATTAGAATTTTTCACCGAACAAATTCGCTACCAACCACTTCTACATTCCCCGAATTGTGAGTCATAGTCAACTCTCCTCCTCGCCACTCCCCTCGCCTCCCCTCTTCCCGGGTAACGGAACTTCTCCCCTATCGCGGCATTCTCCCTTGCGGCATGCGGCAAATGCCACTGCAATTACCGTACTCACCTCGCCTCTCGCCAATCGATAGGACGCGATATTTTTCGTTGATTGGCTTGCTTTTTCATTGTATTTTATCGTTTTTTCTTCTGTTTCTTTTTAGTTTTCATGTTTATTAGACTTGATTAATCAAAATGACTCCTCCTATATAAACGACGATCAAGACCGCATTGGAATTGAAAAGAGCGGCCAGCCAATTCGGATAATTAAAGGACTCTCTACCTTACAAATTGCGCGCTCCAATCTTCCATCGCAATTCTGCGATAGGCAGCGGGTGCGGCGTGTGCGACGCCGTGTTAGGGGAGAAGTTCCCGGACCCCCTCTTCCCATCAGAGCAGGCGATATAATGTATGGATGCACATGGCACAATTTCAATAGCAATTCAAATTCAAACTCAATGGCAGCAATAAAAACCCATCTTGAGGACATTCGAGAACCAAACTAAAAGCATGCGAAGTTTGAGCCAAAACGCCAAAATCACAAACCTGGATAAATCCTAGTCGGTTTCAATTTCTTAATTCGTTCCAGGCTATTCATGTAATCGTGAAGATCTTCAAATACTGTCGTTCCCTCACCAAGAATGCAATCACCACTGAAAGTAGACATATTCAGAAAATTCGGCAGCGATTTTATTAATAAACTAACCTGAATAATGCGTTTTCTTCACACAGCCACAACGACGCGTGATCACATGTATGGCCAGGAGTTTTCACAAATCTATAACTAGCCGTTTCAGATGGTATACTTAAGGCTTTCTGTGGGTGGATGAAACTCGAGAAGAGAGTAGTATTTTGCCATGGATCAGGCTATAGGAAATATGGAATTATGGCTTCCAATGAGAGAAAATTGTCGGCTGGCTACGTTCAGACTTTCAGATTTGAGCGATTTGGCCGACAGATGCTCTCGTTCACTACCTTCGTTTTCCCCTTCGACTATTTTTTGCTCAATCTAGTTTAGCTATATAGGATTTCGCTTAGCTAACCTATACAGGTAAGAGCCGTTCTCTTTAATGTGACCCTCAATCTTAGAGCATTCCCCTTCACAAGGGTTCGCAGTAAATTATTTGTTACCACTATGTGATGAATTTTTCACAACTTCGCCACTTCAAGTTCTCCGAAGTTTTGTTATCAACCACTTTCTGAACGAATTTATTTCTTCAACCATTTTCCCAAAATCTATTCTGCTATCCTCAGGGGCACAGTTTATGATTGAAATGATTTCTAAGATTCTTCCAACGATAAACCCGTGACCCCAAGAATAGCACGTATGATATTGTTGGGTCGAAAAGAATTTCGACGGGGTGTTATAAGGGCTCCAAAACCGGCTTGGTCGACGTACACACCCAAAAATGGCCGTGTTATGATGGCCTTGTTACGGATGCACCATTCACAGTGAAGCGTTAAGACGTCGACGAATAGTACGCTAACATGGAAGACACCTAGACGGTCACAGACACATAACTTCGTACAACTTTCTTTCATTCTACTAGCTATCTAGCTTATGCCCAGCCTTATATTTCTCAAAATCCGCCAATTTTTGCTCTATTCTGCACCATAACTTGTATTATTTCACATAAGCTAGATATCTCACGATTATCGTGAACTCTGTCTTTAATTGATAACAAGCCTCCGAACGACGGACGGTTGCATTGCCTTGAATGTATGCGGTTCTTGGAAAGCTCGACCAGCATGAAACTCGTCCGAAATGGGATGAGCACTCTGGACTTATTGTACATAAACAAGTACGAACCTTAATGTGGCGCCCTCCACCTTGACCTCATGTCCATCATTTACATAGTGGAACTGAGATGGATCTTCAGATTTTCCGCGTTGGATCTTGTAGATGGGAACCTTTAAGCATAGAACGGGATTATGAGACTCTATCAAGTTCAAGTTAACTTACAATGTAACCGGTTACTTACTTCATGACCGATGACTTGTTTCAAGACACTCGGGATACCACCAACATGATCATTGTGCCAATGCGTTATGATTATACAATCAATTTCACATTGGTTTTCCTGAAAGCATTCACAATGGTATTGCAAAAAAGTCATCAAATCAAAGCAAAATCGTAAAAGGAACTGAAAGAACCAAGGTTCAATGAGTTACAAATGAAGCCTGTTTCTATGGCATGATCGATCCATTTCACAAGATGCACCCACGCGTTTGACTAACATGGTGAGTCGAAGTGGGTTTAAAGTGTACTTTAGCTATACAATGGATTGCTGCACCAGGCGCTATACAGATCAGCACCTTATCTTCCCAGATAATACCGGGCAATCAATCGACATCGAAGGTTTAGTAGGTTTGGTTCGAATGGGCAAGCTGTGCTCCGGGGTTTGATCCCAGGCCTATACATGTGGTGATGACCATCCGATGCTATTCCCACTCCCTCTTTTTCAAAAAGTTTAAGACACAGGTCACTATAATTATCAAGGGTTTGGATTAAGTGAGGCAATGGAAGTTATGGTGCAAAACAGAGCAAAAATAGCGAAGAAAGCGCGAAAATCGGCGGAGTTTTTGAAATATAAGGCTCCCGAAAAGTAGTTAAACGTGAGTTGTATGAGATTATGCTTCTATATCGTCCGGGTGTCTCCAACATGAGCGTACTATTCGTTGGCTTCCTAACGCCTTATTGTGAATGGCACAGCCTTAACAGGAATGTAATGACCCACCTCTTTCGGGAGTTTACGCCGACCCCCGGGGAAAGCCTCAGAAACCATGTTATCGAGATCTATGCCTTCAAGCTGTGAACTGATTAATTGAAAACAAACAATGACAGGAGAACGGGAAGCTTATAAAGATTTCCGCTATGGTAACTAACACGATCCATGGATCACTCCGTGTACCAGGTTACGTTTCTTCCAGTTGTTTATGTTTCTCCACTCCCCCCCCCCCCCCCCCCCATTGTTTTTCCCTTCTTGGAATTCTCGTACAAGCAGACGTAGCCAACGGCTCATTTCCAAAACCTTATGACAAGACAGACTGCGTCGGGAGACAAGCGAAAGAGATCATTTAAAGCGCAATCATTGGAGCCATGTCTTTTGCGCTGAACTGGTTTATAGTGGACTTTAACTGTGGGAGTGTAGTGCCTACACCATGATTTCAAAAAACATAACTTCACAAGAAAGAAGGTGGGAATGTAGTCTCACTCCAGTTCTGAACCAAGTGACATGTAAATACAAAAAGGTTCAAGATTGATTGAACAGAACACTTTACAGCACAATCTATCGTTCATTCCAGATGAGGAATCAGTTGAGATGAGAGTTTTGCTGTGCAGTATATCGAAATGATGCAATCAAGCAACTGTACTGACGAGTCCATGTCCTTCCAAGACCAGGATGGAGTGGTACTTAGGGGTATGGTGCAGTAGGGACGGAATTGCCGCGTCGCGGCAAGAGGGAAGCCGCGCACGAAAAAGTATAACAGGATGTAGCTGCGGGTAAGAAATACAGGAACAAAGGAACTAATAGTAACCATGCCTAAGATAAGGGCCGCATACCGATTGAGCTGTATGAAGAACGCTGGAGCTGTAATAACAGCGAGGGAATGGTCCGCGACAGCCGCAAGCGGCGCCGCTACCATATCTAGGGGCGGCGGATCAAATCCCAAACCACTAAACATCAATGCCAACCATGTCTTCCAATTGTCATGAACCCTACGTTCATGATATTTCACACTCTTCACACATTTCACAGACTCCGCCAGCGGCGTACAAACCTGCCTACAATTTGGTCGTTAGGCCTTCCTATTCCGTCCTACAGACTGTCGAAAAGCTTGAGAACTCTTACAGCAAGTCCTCAATATTCATGGTTGCTCACGAATTCGACCGCTGGATAACCCGTCTAAGAAATCCTGGAGAGTCCAAAACACAGAAGGCATTCTTTTCCGGGAAAACTGGGGAGATCTGACAAAGGTTCAAGTTTGCTAGCGGCACCTTGAAGCCACAGTTCACGATAATTCCTTGTAATCCAGATTATGACGAAATTGCGTGAATCGGTGCTTAAAAAGTGAAAAAAGTTTTCGAAAAATCGTTAAAAAGGGGGCTGGACGAGATTGAGAATGAAGTAGAGTGGGGCGTTTGGACGAGCTATACAATGTGGGTAATTGCGTACGTGTGAGCCCCGGTACAAATAACTGACTACGGTGAGCAAAAATTCATTCACTTAGCAGTAGCAAGCATAAGTGAACAAAAAACCCTTGTAACAACAAAAATAGTTCACGTTTTTTAGCCTCTGGGATAGGAAATTAAATAAGGAATCGACGCTACAAAAAGAATAATAGAGAAAAAAAAGAATGGGAGAAAAACATCGCCTCATCACTCGGCGATCAGCTGGTTGTGTGTGGGTCCTAGAACGAAAAATTGCAACCTGCATCACCTAGAATCTCGTCTGACGTGACATCGATCGAGGGGCGGGAAGTCCGCGCGAGCCGGGAACAGGGCTTCCACTATACCCTAAGCGTCGACCTTCTGGGGCACGATAGAGTCCTTTCTATTACCCTTGAGGACCACTGAGTATTCCTATGGGAAGAACTCAGTAACCATTTTTATCGTGACCCGTGCCTTTAAAGAACACAAATCTGACACAGAACGCATACTCAAAGTTCAAGGACAAGCCATTGCAAGTTCAAAGTTTGCATTGGGTCAGGCAGTAATAGATTAGGTTGAGATGTTTTCAAAAACTTGTGGTTTTTAAGAATAAACATGTTCAAGAAATAGATGCTGTGGCGATTATAGATAAAATAAAGCCATTCAAGCAACATTCAGGTGTATGCCACCATTGAGGTGTTTATCACTGATGGGTGACCTTTCACAGAACTTATCAATGAGAATGGAAGCTCTAAGCTGCCCCTGTGTCGATATTTAATTGAACGCATTACACTCCTCAATTATTTCATTTCTCTTTTAATCTACTAGTATTTCGAGTAGCGGCAGAGAAAGCTACTCACTGATTTCTTGAAAGATCAACGGAACATGACAATGGAGCATACCTTCTTCGTAACTATTTTGAGCTGACCTTTGCCCATTGTAGCTTACAATTAGCTCTTCTCATCTCATTACTTTCTTCCCCATTGCAAAAGCAGGACTGAATTCCAGCTTACAGTTCATGGAAACTACCGTCGGCTCGCTCTGAAGATATGATTCATCCAGTTAACTTCCCTAACTAATTACTCGTTATATTAATATTACCGCTATTATGTCCCTTTTGAAGGCAAGGTGAACGTTGTTATGTGCCCCTCCCCCTACCATCCCCCCCCCCNCCCCCCCCCCCTGCTCAAGGATGGAACTCTGGCTCCAGGGATAGCAGTGTAACATTATCGGGTGGAAAAGCATCCTCGACAAACCGTTATAAGGACTCCAAAACCGGCGTGGCCGACGTACACACCCAAAAGTAGCCGTGTTATGACGCGCTTGTTATGGCTGCACCATTCACAATGAAGCGCTAGAACGCTGACGAATAGCACGCTTATGCTGGAGACACTCGGGCGTTCACAGGCACATAATGTCGTATGACTTCTTATCTTGCTGCTATTTTGAAGCCTTAAATTTCTTGAAATCCGCCGATTTTCGCGCTTTTTGCACTAATCTACAACATACTTTCCATTATTTCACTTAACTTAGATGCCCCAGAATTATCGATAAATGTGCCGTTAATGACCGGCACTGGGGGGACGGTCAAGTCGTGCGTCCGAGGGTGCGCGCGGCGAATGGCGCGGCGAAATTCATACCTATTCTGACGAATTTGGCGCCTATAATTTGGGCCCAATTTTGAAGCACAGTAGATTAGTAAGATCAGCTGACCTTACTAATCTACCCTACTTCAGATTTCGGCCCCAAGGGTAGGAGCCGGAGTCGTCCAAATTCGCTACGAACTTCGCCGCGCGCCCCCTCGGACGCACGACTTGACACACAACCCGGCACTGCTCTTAGTATTCTCAATCTCGAAAAAACTGAGCGGTTGTCAGTTACAGTCGAACATACGAACATACTAGTTATGGCTACGCCTATGTCAGAAAACGCTTTACACTTACCAGTAACTGCTCCACATATGGACATCAACATTTAAAAAAAACTATTCCAGATAATGTTATGGTTAAAAATGCTATTGAAGCACCCTAATAAAGAGGTAACCAACAGAAAATGTAAAAGGAAAGAATTGAGCGATAGGGTAAAAGTTTCACCGCAAGCGTAGATTGTAATAAATCGATATATTGTCGGATGTTTGGCTCTCCTGTATCGATCAATATTTTCCTGAAACACAGGACATTCACATCGTAGGGGTGTATTATGAACAGCAATAAAAGACTTACTTCTTTCCGCTACCTATGAGATAGGTGTTCGTACCTTGAAGAGTAAAAGGCCCAGGATTTTGACCGAGTATACGAATCACCAGTGGACTAAGACGAGTTACAGCATCTATAGGAGTCAAGGTAGGCATAGCTCTGAAAAAGACCACTAAACTAGAATAGTACAAAGAATCTGGACTACTTGTCAGTTCATAAGGGGTAACATATGTATGACAGCGGCGAATTCTTATCGCAAGGTCACGGACATGGCGTGTTTCGCCCATATTGGCTGAAATCATGATGACACACCACTCAGAAAAGAAAACAAGATGCCCTGTGCCTCTGGTGGGGTTCGATCTTCTTCTCGTGCAACAACTCCAAGTTTGAAAGCAGTGGGAATTTTAAGAATACCCACGTGTGTGTTTTGCTGGCAAACAGATAAGCACATGCAGCAATCGCATAATCCTTAGTAAAACGAAGGCTTGCGGTGACACCGTTGAGGTAGGAGGTCATCGTGTCTGAAAGCATTACTTCAAGTGAACAACACTGAGATAGTAAGGTACGATAAGACAGGCTTGCAATGCACAATTATTTACCATCGCTGGAACGATCAGATAATGCGACACTGTGTTCCAGACAAGCAGACCCGGCATAAAAACGTTGCAAATGCAACCAAACGATTTGCAACTATGAAGGTCATACCGTAGAGACCAACTTCCACAATTATTTTGAGGTATCGTTCACATCACAAAGGGAATTCCTACTACCTGTGACGACAGTGAGGGGCGAGGTCAATAGGCTGTGGCAGAAATGGGGCACACCCCGGAAGAAAAGAATTTTTTCCACCGAACTGCGCTAATTACTTGGCACAGGTAGTGATTAGGTGGGTTAAATGCAAGAACAGAGGGGCGATCCCCTACTTCGAGCAAAACACCGTATCCTGTGAAACGACCGGAGGAGGACGCACACGACCATACTCCATGTGCTGAATTCCCAACAGTAGTGACTTAAGAAAGAGAGCATTTTTGGGAGACAAGTATTACACCGCGATGAATACGAACTGAAAACACCTTGATGCTGAATTTAAACCCCATCAAACTTTTATTAAAACTTGAACTCGAATTACTGCTGTGCCACAAAGGTTTAACGAAAATACGGGAACCGTGGAAATGAGTCCTAACACCTACATTCACGGAATTCGAATATTATCATCTCTAGACATGTTTTAGAAAACGTAATGAAGGACAATGGGGCAGAATGTCAAAAAACCTCCACGCACAGCAGTAAACTGGCACGACCTCAAAAACTAGGAGGACCGCCCTATACTGATGCCTTAGCAATTGCGACATCCAAATCATAATTTGGAAACTTTGTGGCGTGAAGAATCGAATAACGTCTCTTCAAGAGAACAATTCAACAATAAGCTGTGTTACAGAACGAGCTTATGAAGTTTTTAAATCATTATTCCTCGCCGTTAAGCGATATTTAAATAGCTCCTCACATATCACACTGCTGACCCTGATATGCGTCGCGCCACGCTGCCGCCCTTTCATAGATTTCTATGGGGAGGCGGTCGTCTGACGCAGCCCTTTGATCGCACCCCTTCCCACATTCGATCGATTCGAACTCCGATTCGAGTTTCTGAGCATGACAATTCGTACAAGCGATTCACCCTCCTGACCATGCTAATCGGCCAACTCACTGCCCATTCAGTTGATATACGCCCGACCGACAACACTACTATTAGATGCCGAATTGCTTACCTACCTATATTCTGCTGTCTCTATTTGCATCGATTAGCATGGGCAGGAGCTTGAATCACCTGTACGAGTTGTCCAGCTCACGAACCGCGTCGAGTGGGCGGCGTGACGCGAGGGGCCGCGTCAAACGACCGCCTCCCAGTAGATATAAGTAACACCGCCAAGGTGTGGAGAACTGAGAGGAGGGGTAAGAGTAGTTATTCCCGACAATCAAAAAAAAAATATTAATCGGAACCGAGATCGATGCCATGACCATTAAACTAGCTGGTATAATGATACGAAGGATAACGACTGGGAAGTTAAAAAGTAAGTTAAGTTGTTTTTGTTTATGATGGTAAAGACCCAGTGGCTCCTAGTTCCTTTTCATTTAGTTTCAGAAACGAGGCTCCTTTTTTTCTTGAGGTCTTCAACTCAAAACAAATTCTCATTTGTGATAATCGATCACGACTCTGTCATTTCCATCGATTCCTTTCCTTGTTCCAGCCTCGTTGTCTTCTAATTTCTTCCTTCTTCCAATGTGTTTGATATTTCGACGTCATACCACCGGAACCATCGCTTACAAGCCTACAAACCGACTGAAGCATACTAATTCACTTGCACTGATTGACAGCCTCAACACAGCGTTCAACGCCGTTCCTGTGGGCATCCTGAAGCGCTCTTGATTATAGAAAACTCTGATCCTATTCACATTTGCCCCAAATAGCACTTAAAGATTTTGCCGATGAACTATTTGGAAGAATGGAGAAATCTGGGATTTATTTCCGACATAATGGTGCAATTTTTCCAAGGGGTGAGTCACCGTCGAAGATGGAAAAGTCGTGCATGACGCACTTTATATGGGAAGTAATTCAACATCGATTTCATTGAGTTGACGTCGGCTACATATGCACGAACTACGGGGGAGACGGGCAGTAGGAACGGTTTTCTGTAATCAATTCGCCGCACGCGGTTGTCGCGGACTTCGCTTCGCCGTTATTACAGCTCTGGCGTCCTTCCTACAGCTCAATCGATATGCAACCCTTATTTTAGTCATGATTCTACAGTTAGTTCTTTTTTTCCTGAATTTCTTACTTGCTGATGCATTCTGCTAGATTCCATCGCGCGCGGCGTCTCTCTCGCCGCGACGCGACAATTTCATTCCTACTGCACCACACCCCGAACTACGGTCCTGTAGCTCGAGATCCACCAATAAGGAGTGCGCTGTATCATGTTGCAGTGGCCCTGATGGCCACACTTGTTACCATACGGACAGAATAAGACAATGGGTTTGAATTATGATTTCTCCATTCTGTTTCGAGTATATTTATATAATTATTTATCTCGAATGCATGCTACAAATATTACTACCTAACTCATTGGTTTGAACCTAGAGCTTTTTGTATTTTCTCCACCTGACTCCATACACCAGAACCATCTCTAAATAGTCAAAATGCCACTTCTGATTGCTATCACTCCCAGTCAGCTCCTGATTGTGAGACTGAATATTATAGTACTCGCCTATATTAAGAGCAATTCTAATCGTTCCCTCTGGCCAAATTCTTACGCTCCCCCTCCTCGCTTCTCCTTTTGCTCAGTCTCGGAACTAGACTATTCACCATGATGACTTCTCGTCCAGGTGCACGTCGCTAGATCATTGAGAGATGCTCGTGCCTTCAAGTGCAGAGGGTTCATGAAGAACCACTCCATTCTCATAAACTTCGTCTTCGTTAAGTTCAGTCGTATACCGGTGTTTCCATAGACGTCGTCAAGCTCGGCCGGCGACCCTGCACGATACCAGGTGCTATGAGCAAAATGTCGTCCGCAGGAAGGAAGTGATGCAACTGCATGTTGTCACCTTCACTCTCATGTCCCATTACAAATACACATGACCTTTTCGAAAACGGGAGTGAGGTGTTTTTACAAGGTGGTTTCGCCCTGACAACCTATAGCTTCATTTTGACAATGATTTCGGTTCTGGCAGTGAATCTGTTCTAGGGCATAGTAGTAGGAAGCATTCCTATATGTTACCGCTTTTGTCTCGAGTGTATCAAGGACCTTCAGATAATGAATGTAAGAGATAACGGCATTTGTGCTTTGAATCGAACTAGCAGATGACCTTCTTTGCTGTTGGAACGACGAAGAGGGAAATTATCTTAGTCTCGTCATAGGTGGAGCTCTGGCGTGCATTGCGAACGGCATATATGTAGTTACTCTTGAGCAGCTTGCCAGGCTCCGACGTGGGAAATGGGCAGACCCCGGGCAGCTAGCCACGGCATCTCAGAGTGGACAGGGGCTTAGCTAACCAAAGGGCTCGAGCGACCTCTCGGATAATTCCCAGTCTCTCGAATGCAAGCACTTGGCTGAGCCGATGTGCAGGATCACACGCATGTATGGGTGCGCCTGGGAGGATACAGAAAGCAAATATTTATTGACTCAACACAGCATAAACAGGGAGTGGTCACGCCACGTAACCTCACCACCAACCAGCTAAGGACCCTTCAATAAAAGGGAACCCACAATGAAGGAGATCCGTGAAGATGCCGTAGTAACAACTTACTATAGCAAACCAGACTTAATAAATGTGACTAGCGATCCCTGAGTTAGTACAGGAGTAAACGTTCGAATCACTGAAAGATGAGACAGAGCTCATGTTGAGCTATCAGAACGGAACATGACGGTTTCTGTTCAAGGCTCAACAGAATGTAGGGTGCAAGCTTTTGCCTTCAAGATGTACACCATTTCCAGTGTCGCCATCCTAATTCTATGTATAACAAATGGAGCAGAAACATATTCCTAACTGATTTAAATGGTTTTCGCTAGTTACTGAAAGGTCACGATAAAAACTGCATTCGAGATTCTCTCCAGAATGAGATGTGACCTCGAAGGATAGCACAACAGATGCTGTTGGGTCGAAAAACGGCTTAGTTAGTGCGCAATAAGAGCCCCAAGACCAACCTAGCCGATGGACAATTGCAAAAGTGAAGCGTTCTCACGGCATTGTAGAGGATGTAGAGGTTGCACCATTCGCACACGCCACATGCAGGCA